ATAAACAGTGTGAATATTCACTTCAATTATCCAGTCATGTGAAATGCAAATTCCTGTTTACTTATTTCATCTGCACATGATTGGATAATTGAAATGAGAAATTCACAATATTTATTTTTAGTAACCCATAAAAATACACACACATACAGTATAAACATATTGCAATGATTAAAACCCTATATTTCTTCAATAAGGCATGGCCAGACAACCAGGTATGTCATTGTATAATACTATCTTATCTGAAAAATTTCTCATTTAGTTAACTTACTTTACCAGATTTTTTTCAGATAAGCCAGTCTTATACAAAGATGCATCTGGTTGGCTGGCCATACCTTACTGAAGAGAAATCAGGGTCTATTTTTTTCAATTTGCAGAGCCATTCGCCCTGCAGATCTCTGTGAACATCTGTTTTGTGCCAATAGAGATAATCCGAACGTTCCTAGTATATTTTCTTTCCAGGTCAAATGTAATGTAATACAGCATTATGGCCACTAGATGGAGCAGAAGAGCATAGGAAATAAGTATTTATTCCCTATTCTCCTCAGCACCATCTAGTGGATATAATGCTGTATTACATTCAACTTGAAAAGAAAATATACTAAGGACCTTCAATTTTTCTTCTGTTCACACAGAACAAACATTCGCAGGGCAACTGGCATTGCAAATTGTTTGTAACTAGATCCCATAGTGTTTTAAACATTGGTTTAGTTTTATATTTGCATGTGTATTTTTAAGGATTACTAAATCAATATCTGCTATTTTAGTTTATATAAATTTTTCAATAATCTCAACTCCTTTAGTAAATCAGTACAATAATGTAGTGTAGGTGTTGAACTATGGGTGCAGAATAAACTAAGGGGGCTGCTGGCTAGCTTTTAAATAGTGCAGGCTTTCGGCTGTCATCCGAACTCTGGATTCACCACCTAAAGGAGCCAGAATCAGATCAGGCAACCCTAGAAACTCTAGCTTTTAAAAACAAGTCAGCGATTGCACTTTTTATACTTGTATGCTTGCACATTAAAGTAAATCTAGAGTAAGGGATGGTTAGAACCCCTATCAGGTATTTTTTTTCTGCCTGTGTCCCATGGGAGATATTTATCTTCACTTGCAGTTCTAGAACTACAACAGGACATAGGAGGAAATCTCTCCTATAATCTCCTATTAGACAGTGCTCACTGGGAAAGGTATCACTGATTGCAAGATTTTTCCCTCACGTCCTGTTCCAGTAACAACTCTAACAGGGTTTTTCACAAAAGGGTGAAGAGTTTGGAGAAGGCAGGAGAAGTGAACAATCTAGGACAACATAGCAGAACTGGAAAGTGACCTGAATTGGAGAATTTTTCCAAATCATCTGTTTTGGCCTAGATTGTTCACTTCTCCTGCCCTCTTCACCCTTTTGTGAATAACCCTGTAAAAGTTTGGATTTCCCATTGCATTCTGTACTGGTAACAATGATCACCATAATAAACAGAGAGGGCAATTCTCCCCAGTGGGGAACCGGACAATAAAAAACCTGACGGTACTTAGTTATACCCTGAATACATCATTCAACATATACTGTACTTTATGATATGATTGATATTGGGATTTGTAGTTATCCTTTAGCGTTACTCCACATGATACACATTGAGGGGAATTTATTAAAACTGGAGCAGACAAAATCTGGAGCAGCTGTGCATGGCAACCAATCAGCTTCTTAACTGAACAAATGAAAGAGAGAAACTGATTGGTTGCCCTGGGCAACTGCTCCAGATTGTGTCTGCTCCAGTTTGGATAAATTCTCCTTACAGTGTTTCAACTCCATATTTTTATTGTCCTACCTACTGATGCTGTATTTTTGCTTCCTTATGTGATTGTATTTTATTTTGCCATGTATTTTTATGGAATTATTACAGTTAAATTATTGGATGGAAGTAGATCTAAATTTAAAGCATCTGTTCTACAGCAAGGCAGATGCAGCAACTTTAGACTATATCTACAACAACACCCATTGTTACCCATTGAGGTGTTTCTATGGACCTCACTCATCAAGATGCAATATCACTAGGGCTGTGGAAATTAAAGATTAATTTCTCGATTAATCGTTAAACTTTTTGATCGATTAAAATTATTTTGATCGCTAATGAAAACGCTTACCTCTCCGTCGGCTTCCGGGAGTCCCGTCGGCGATCCAGTGACGTCACGGACATCGACGTCACCGGACTCCTCCCCCTTCCCCAAGTGGCTCCGTCGGCTAACGAAGGGGGAGGAGTCCGGTGACATCAATGTCCGTGACGGCTAACGAAGGGAAGGGGGTGGAGTCCGGTAACGTCGATGTCCGTGACGTCACCGGACTCCTCCCCCCCTTCGTTAGCCGACGGAGCCACTTGGGCCGGTGAGTTTGCCCAAGAAACTTTCTGCACGAGCGCCAGCCAAGGCATTGACCTATACACATACAGCACAGCAATGAAGTAATAAAATTAACTAGGATCACGCTAATCCAGCACGTTATTATTCTGAGTTGCCCCGCTCAAGCGGCGGCCATATTGAGTGGGGCACGTGAGATTAATAACGTGCTGGATTAGTGTGATCCTAGTTCATTTTATTACTTCATTGCTGTGCTGTATGTGTATAGGCCAATGTAGTTGGATCTGTATGTGCGTTTTATAATCGAAATTAATTGATTCAAAAAAATTTCGATTAATCGAGCAAGAACATTTTAATCATTACCAGCCCTAAATATCACATATTAAAAGTAGAACATTTGATATTGCCACTTGTGTCATCAGAGAGGAAAAAGTTTCAGGTGTTAACATCTACGATTTCCCCCATGAGATTTGAATCATTTATGTGGCTTTTTTCACTTGATAAAAATACAAAATGTGGGTATGAAGATCACATTAGCTCTTCATTAGCTCCAAATTGTGTTGCTGTCAGGTTATAATATTAAAGGGTTTCTAAAGCCTCCGTTATTTTTGCATATATCTACTGCTAGCAAGCAGTAGATATATGCAAAAAGTTTTTTTTTTTAAACGCTTTAACAGCGGTTTAAACTTCCCCCGGTCTTCACTGCGCGCCCCCGTCAGAAAATCCGAAACTGCTCGGGCGGCCGCAAAGCATCTTGGGGCGGGCGCATGCGTGGTTCGGATTTTCGGCCGGGAGACAAGGAGAGATGCAAGGTAAGTCTATGGACGCGTACACACCCGCATGCAGACACCATGGGACAGGAAGGGCCAGCAAGGGCAGAGGAGTCAGCGCTGGATCGGACATCCGCGGCAGCGCTGGAGGGACAGATGAAAACAGCAGGAATGAAAATCGGATTAAGAGACATAATTTAAGGTAAGAGCTAACATTAACGGACGGGGGGGGTTGAAACAAATTTGACTTTAATGTCACTTTAAAGCTGAACTTAAGGTGTAACTATACTTTAGTGGAGAAAAACGAATCCAGTGATCAATGTAGGATTTTTAAAAACTTTTGGCAAATTCCTCCATTTTTATGTTCTGGAAAAAAAATCTGTTTTATTTCACCGTGTCCTTTCCAAACTGATTTCTGGAAAGGAGGGTCTGGCTCGTTATAACCACCTGCCACGTGTTCAGTGTTCTAATGAGGACAATGACAGTATGGTTAAGGAAGTATCACACCAAAACAGAAATTTCTATTGCAGGTGATTTTCTATAATTTTGCTTGTATCGCAGTGCAGACTTCTGGGAAAAATATGTGAGCCAATCACAGAAGCATGAAATACCATTTCTGGGGGTGTTCCATACACCAGCATGGTTCAGAACATCTCCAGGATGCCATATTCTGTTGCATTTTTTGAACAGTTTTAGAAATTTACAGCGGCTTCAGATTGAAATGGAAAGGTAATGTTTAATGCCATTAAATTACAAAGTGGCTTGTGTGGAAATGTTATACACTATATTATATTTTTCACGTAAGTGGAGTTTTCCTTGTCACCCTTCCTTCTTCCCAGGCAATATCATCCTGACACATCAAGCATATGGACTGGTATGCCCATGGTGGTGGGGCTACAGAGCCCCCCACATTGATATCTGACCATGTTTTTCAACATTAGGGGTAGTCCAAAGCACTGGTGCCTGTAGCAGATGGGTGTTGGGCTCTTTTAAGGGAACCTGTCATTGCAGATTTATGGAGGCTGCCACTGCTGACCTTTTCTTTTAAGAATTAATTTAATACTTTGAGTCACTGGCCTAAAATAAGTATAGAGATAAGAAATGATGACACTTTTCACACTCATTTGCAACATTCTTGTTCCAGGTCTCTAACTGAGACATATTGAAGGTGTACACAGCCAGGAAACAAGCACTTTCAGATGGAAGCCAGCAATGGCATCCTCCTGTACTATAACACTCCATTGTCTAGAAAGAGATGGTAAAATGGGAGGAGGGGGGTATTGTGTGCTTTCGAGGATACAGGTGAAGGGGTAAAGGTTCTGATGGACCTCTTTATCAGTTCATTGAAGGAGGGGGCACAACCTAATTGCCCAACATGAAGTCAAGGTGTATTGAACATAACCCCCTTCCCACCCATGGCTTCGCCTCCTCCTGGACAAGGGGGTGTGAAGGAGCCTAGTGCCCATCAGTTTCAGGAATTTAGAGTGCTATCATCAAAGAGGGTCTAACACACTTGGTGATCTTCACGTTAGAGGGGCCTCAACCCTAATACCTGGGCTGCCAAGCTGGTATTATACAAATGTAGAAGAGATATGGGATGCATTTTTTTATGGAATAATTTACCTATTGACCTTCAGGGTGTGTTGCATTGCATTTAAATGCAGCTTGTTCCATTTTCACCCAGCACACATTAATGCAGTGAGTTGGTATGAACTGGGCCTATGGGAAACAATGCAGCCCAACAGACGTGATATGAATGGACCTTCCGTACATCTATGTTTCTATTTTCATTAGACTGGAATGATAAATTATATTTTATTGTACAACAGTGCATACATTCGCTCTTTTGTTTCTCTAAGTTTCGGAATTCTATCCTTGTTACAGTGATTTAAACATTGCCGATCTTCTGAAAACATGTCATCCGTCAAGCGTCTGGTATATGCAATCATCCAATTCTTAAGAGAGCAGAGTCAGCGGGATGTGTACACGGCAGATGAACAGGAAAGTTTAGAAGGTAAATAATTAACATGGCCAGAGCAATCTTAAAGCCATACTAGAGTATGCAAAAAAAACAAAACACTTAAACCTCATATTAAAATGCTATATTTACTAAGACCACGATGACGGCTCTGTAATAATGGATTTCCTGAACGGGGTTCATGCATAAATTAAAGCTATGCTCATTGATGTTCTTTATAGTTCTGTTATATCTGCAGTGTAAAAATAATTGTATAATTTACAATAAATTGTATAATATGTATATGTAAATCCAATCACTAAAACCTAATCTTTAGCACCGTAATGTAATTTCAAAAGTCATTTTTAAATCTGTGGCTTTCATTAACAAATATCTGGTGATCCTGCCCTGAAGGTCCTTTTTCAGGCACTTCTGTTATAGGGTGACAACGCTCAGTCCCTGTCTCCCAATTGTGCTCTAGCAATGTGACCCTGTCGCGTGGGCTTCCAATGCAGACTGCATGTAAACAGGCTTTTGCTACCAAGTGGCTGTAGGAGGTCAGCAGAGCTGAGTAACAACAAAAGATTAAAAAAAAGGTGAAAACACAATTTTTTTTTTTTCTCAACAGTTTCTGATACAGAGTTCTTTAGTAAACGAATTGATAATTAGATTGGTGTTTCATCCACATTAAAGTCGAACTCCAGGCAAAAAAAACCCCATACCCTTGCAGTGGGGCTTCCCAAGCACTGCAAGGGTTAAGTGCTCATTTTGGTCTAGGGGTTGGAATACAGCAGAATTGCCTACCTGATCCCAGTTTCCTCTGGACTGCTAGACCGGTTCTTGCAGTCTCTTCTCCCCTGGGACCATTGACCTGCTTTAGTCGTGAGGAAGCTAAGGGACATTCCATAGCAGCTTTACTTACATGATCCCAGCTCCCACCGCAGTCTGTACTCGCCTCTCTCCCCTTTACTCCTGCCGGGCGTCGGCGGGAAGCTGGGGAAGAGATCGGTGAACGTCCATTCATCGATTTCCTCCCAATACTATGGGACTGGGAGCGACGCGTATTGCATCACTTCCGGTCCCATAGCTGTAATTGCTGGGCTCCTGAAGAGAGTGTAAAGGTGATACTATTGAGAGTGTAAAGGTGATACTAGGGGTCTTCTGGACCCCCAGTATCATCTTAAAGAGTACCTGTCATCACCAATATGCTATCACAGGGGGGGCTTGTAAGCCCCCCTATGTGATAGCAATTAAAGTAAAGTTATAAAAAAAAATAGTTTTAAAAATAATATTAAATAAAAAATGTAAAAAATGAAAAAAATTTTTTTAAAGACCCCCGCCCCAGCGAGCACGCGCATCATCACGTAAACACTCGTTAGGTGCACCTACGTACGAAAATGACGCTTGCGCTACACAAAAGGTAACTGTTAGTGCAAATTAAAATATATCACAGACAGTACTCAACTGTGTTGTAGCAAGTGTAGAATAATTGAAAATTGTAAAGGGATTTTTTTTTTTTTTTTTTTTCCCAAATTTTTTTGGCCTT